TCAGGGGAAACCTCAAAGAAAACTCCTGTCCAGGGGTGTCTTTTGGTTTTTACCTTAACATAGTAAGAAACACATTCCGTACTGCAGCTCAGCACATGCACCCTGAAATAGAAACAAGTCTCCTGAGTCTGATACTGTGCTACCCTCTGTTATTTTTAGACAAATGTTAGTTGCAGCCACTAAATTGATTTCACTACCGATGACTATAGCCCACCCTTACCATAAGGGATTGTTGTTCCCAGAGAATGTGGAAACCAGAGGGCACAGAACCTTATGCATACATGATTTTTCATGTGTGTGTAAGATCTGTGTCTATGATAAATTAATTTACGCTGAGCCCTTGTTGAGCATGCACTAGACTCTGGGTTCTACCGGGAGTGTTGAAGAAAAACAAAACTGTCTATTTGACAGTTCTGTTGTTTGCACATCTTTGGTACTCTTCTGGGTAGCCGAATTTTTTTGAAGAGGAGGAGGTGGAAGAGGAACGAAGTTGTTTCATTTATAAATTAGGCACATTAAGAAGTCAATACTTATCTGGATAGTGGTAGCACAGGCTTTTAATCCCAGCACTCTAAAGGCAGAGGCAGGCAGATCTGTAAATCAAGGCCAGCCTGGTCTACAGAGCATATTCCAGGACAGTCAGGGCTACACACACACACACACACACACACACACACACAGAGAGAGAGAGAGGGGAGGGAGAGAGAGAGAGAGAGAGAGAGATCACCCTGTTTTGAAAACAAAGCAAAACAATAAAAATACCAATGTACTATAAATACAGGGTTTCGTGTCTGTGGTTGGCCATGAACTATGAAACTGTAGGGAAGACTACAAAGGATAGCTGTTTTGGAATCCCGTTTCTAGGCTACACTGGGAGATAAGAGCATTCCTTCCTGGGAGGAAGGGTGGCCCCTTGGATTACTGCAGCTGTCATCTGATTTTCCTGTGCCACCATCAGGAGCCTCCCTGCCCATTGATGGAGAGGGTGGCTCCTCACTCTCTTTCTAAATCAGACCCTCTTTCTCTCAAGTCCTCACTGTTCTAGTCCCTGCTACTCCATACTCGCTCCTGGCTTCCACAGCTCTCATGGCAGCCATTCTAGGCTTTCTCCCTCCTGTCTGAGCCAAGCCAGGCTTCCCACTGATGCCGAGGCAGACAGAAGCTGTAAGTTCTTTCCACCCAAGCAGGCGATCCCCCAGCTCCCTTACAACTGCTCCCAGTTTCTACTCCGTTTCTTGGTTCTATTTTCCACTGATACTCCCCTAATCTGTATTTGGGATTTGGTATCCATTGTACCAGACTTTCACAGTAGAAGCCAGATTTGGTGGTAGGCAGATCTCTGAGTTTGAAGCCATCCAGGGTTGCATAGTGAGACCCTACTTCAAACAACAATAAAAGCTGAAGAGATTGCTCAGTGGTCAAGAGCACTCCGTTATTCTTGCGGAGGACCTCAGTTCAATTCCCAGCACTAATATGGTGGCTTACAACCATCTGTAACTCCAGTTTCAGGGGATGTGAGGCCCTGTTTGGATTTCTATGGCCACATATGTACATGCAGGCAAAGCACTTCTACATGTAAAATAAATAAATCTTTAAAAAAACAAAACAAAAAACAAACAAAAAAACAATATGGGCCAGGCAGTGGTGGCGCACGCCTTTAATCCCAGCACTTGGCAGGCAGAGGCAGGCGGATTTCTGAGTTCGAGGCCAGCCTGGTCTACAGAGTGAGTTCCAGGACAGCCAGGACTACACAGAGAAATCCTGTGTCGAAAAACAAAACAAAAGAAACAAAACAACAACAACATGGATGGGGCAAGTGATACGGTTCAGAGGATAAAGTCACTTGCTGCCAAGCCTAACAACCTGAGTTCAATTCTGGAGACCCACATGGTGAAAGGAGAGAACAGATTCCAGCAAATCGTCCTCTGGCTTCCACATGTATACCATGACCTCTGCTCATACGCATACACACAAACAAATGTACAAAACCAAAATAAAGTGGATAATATATTGTCATAATGAGGGTTAGCTATGACCCAAACCAGCTCTCTCACCTTTGCCAACTGTCTGACCTTGGATATGTTAACTTCTCCATGCCTCTATTTCATCACCTGCCAGGTTGAAATAATACCTATCTTGCAGGTTTGTAAAAAAACAGTTTTCACGATGTTTACTTGTGCCTAGAATACAGTGAGCACTTTCTAAATGTTTGCAGAAAATACCACATACGTTTCTGTTACTTAGATTAACCCAAAGCAGGACAGAAAGACAGAATCATGTGGACATGAACAGGAAATAGAACCCCTCACCTAAGAGTCTGAAGTCTCAGCCAGATGAGAATTCCGATACAATTAATATTTGCTCAAGGCCTTTCTCCTTTCTATTCTATAAACCTATAATTTTCTAGGAATCTCACTAGAAACCCCATTTATGGTAAAATACATGTCCTGAGCCCACTGGGCAGCCCCAGTGGCTCTGGGTTTTATCTTTTCAGATCACTATACTTTCCAAGGCATCTCCAGAGTCATCCTTTAATCTCATTTATCAAAAAGAGAGAAAGGGTGGAGGGGGTTTCTTGGCAGCCCTTTGAAATGTAGCTTAAGAACCACAGTGATAACTGTGGCCAGCTAAGATGAACTAAGTGCAGCTCTTCTCTGGGAAGCCCATTCCCATGCCCTGGGGGGTGTCAGAGCCTCCCACATATACATCACTTTCCTATTTTCACTCAACTCTAACTCAGCTTCAGAAACCAGCTTTCTTTCTATTCTTTTCTGAAGTTGAAGGGTCTGCTTTTACCGGAGTCAACACTTAGGGGACTCACTCTTCAGGCTGCTTCTGACAGCAGATGAGTCATCTCCATCCACACCACCGCTGACAAACCTACTGACTCCGACTCAAGCCCCATCACCCAATCTGGCAAGCAGAGGTTGAAACCGTCCACCTGAAAATCCGTGTTGCCTGCCACCTCATTCCCCATCTATCTGAAATACCCTCCTGCGTACATGCATCCATTTCAGTCAGAACCTTCTCTGCTTTCTACAGTTCCTTGCCTCTCAGTTCTTGATAAGAATTGTGATACTTAGCCGGGCAGTGGTGGCAGACACCTTTAATCCCAGTACTTGGGAGGCAGAGGCAGGAGGAACTCTGAGTTCTAGGCCAGACTGGCTTGCAGAGCAAGTTCCGGGACAGCCAGGTCTCTACATAAACCCTGTCTCAAAAAGTCAAAAAAAAAAAAAAAAAAGAATTGTGATACTTGATGCAGTTTTTCTGAGATCATTTCTGAAACTTAGCAGGAATGAGTCACTAAATGGAGGCAAGCCCTCCTTCCCTCAAGCTAGCCAGTCAAAGAGGTGACAGGCTTTGACCATAAACATCAGAGAAGACCTCATTTATCCCATCCAGCTAGGAGAGACTGAAGAAGAGACTGCCATGCTGGCCTGGAGTCCCATCCTGGAAGCGACACTGGCCTTTGCATAAAGTAGAATCCAGCTACGGTCAGAGTTTACTGCGTTGGTTACACAAGCAATCTCCTAGCTCCCCGACTCGGTGTGGGGCAACTCTCTCCTTAGATACCCTCCTACCTCTACTATGTGGTGTTTGTCTTGAGACAGGGTCTTCTGTACCCCAGGCTGACCTTGAGCTCCCTGGACTCCAGATCCTCTTGCTGGGGTTACACACATGCGCCTCCACGCCTGGCTCATGCAAGTCCAGGGGATCAAACCCAAAGCCTCACGGATGCTCTGCATGTGCTCTTCCAGGCAGCCCCACCTCTATTTTCTGTTAATGTTCTCATTAGACCCCAACGTAGACTCCTACATTGGTCCCAAAGTCTTTGTTACAATTAGTTAAGGAATCAGCTCTTGCCAAGGTGAATCCTGGGCCCAAAGTCACAGCTGTCTGGTCTCTATGCTAGTCCTTTCCTGGCCCCTCATGAAAGCCTTAGTCCTCACTATCAGACTACATTATCCACCATAGATGGTAAGACTTACCCCCTTGTTTGAACTCTAGCCCCATGACCAGAGTCCGTGCCATGTTTTCTTATCCTTGCCAGCCCTCTCTAGGATCTGGACCTTGTTTTATAACACAGATGGGTTCCTATCATCTGAAAAGTGATCCATAGAATGGCTACCCATCCTTCTTGGCCTTGAACTCCTCATTGTTAGGGAACATTCCCAACTCAAATGGAAAATCTAGTGTGCCTTAGTTTCAGCTCCTTGTAAAGGCCCTCTCCCGTACCAAGCTTCAGGTGGGCTCTTCTGAGTCCTCTTCTTAACTAGTCTTCAACTTCAGTCTCGTTCTGTCTGTGACCTACTGAGCTGTTTTAGCACAAGAATCCTGTTAGGTTGATAGTGACCACACTTGAGTCCTACCTTCTCAAGAATCCTGTTAGAGGCCCGGAGTGGTGGAGCACACCTTCACAGCCAGTACCTAGGATGCTGTGGCAGACGGACCTTTAAGTTTGAGGCCAGTCTGGTCTATATAACAAGTTCTAGACCAGCCTAGAACCTAGTGAGACCTTGTCTCAGTGTTAGGTAAGTTTAGCAGGGATGAACCATTATCCTCTTTTAGAAGTTTCCATCCAACGGTCCTCCCCGCCCTCCTCCTCGGCTCTGCATCGCTAGCCTTACATCAGGCTCCCACTCATCTCCTTTATTGGTCTCTATCCTAATAGCATCAAATACATTTTTTCTTCTAACTTAAAGGTCAGGAAAAAAAGTTTCAACACTTGCCACAGTCTTGGGACAACCACCAAGGGCAAGCCATGGCCCAGCTGCCTTCTGAGTCACATTCCCCTGCTTCCCGACGAACTCTAGAAATAAGATCGTATTCCAGATCCTTACGTTCCTTTTCCTCAGCAGCCCTTAGTGGACTCAGCTCTAGCAGAATCACCTCAACTATAAAAACAAAACAAAACAAAAAACAAAACAACCACCTGGTTCATTTAGTCACCTCATTTGTTTAGTCAGTCAGATAATCAAAACATATGAATAGATTTAAATGGTTTCTCAACATAAATATATTTTCAAAGAGCTTTCATATTTGTATCATAGACATAAACAAAATACATATACTTGGGGTATGGACTATCTGCCCTGGGCTCTTTTGAATTTAAAAAAAAAAAAAAAACAAAATATCCTAGAAGATCAGGTCTTCTGTATTCCCATGGCGGCAGGAACACATCCTCTGCCCTTGTTTTAAACAATGAATTTGTCTGAAATTTGAAATTTGTCTTGGGTTCCAATTATACTTTTGTTGTTAGTAAAGAGGCTTTATTGTGAACGTCTCCCTCACCTACAACTCTGATTTCCATGTTTTATTCATCTCCTCTTTTTTGACTTCAAGTAAGGTAAGGATGTCAAATTCAAAATTTGCTTAATTTTGTGTTGGTACCAGGTGTCAAATTCTCCTCTTGAATGTCTCCCTTCATGGGGGTAGTTACTGAAGCACTTGGTGGGAAGTGGCGACTCAGCCACTCACTGGTTCTCATGGCTTTGCAGTGGAGACAGGGCCTTTCTCTGACTTCATAGTTTTCCATATCCCTTTGCCTTGACACTGACTTCCTCCTCCTAATATTGGCAGGTGCCGGCTGATGGTCACTTTCGCTCTCCTTCCAGGAGGATGCTCCAGAGTTCGATCCCTCACTGTCACATTCAGTGGTATCACTGTCTTGCTGGATCTGATTTACCCGGTGGAACTGGGAATGGCGCCTGGCTCGTCTTTGTTCAAGGTAGGCGCTGACCAAAGCCACCTCAGAGTCGGTTACTGTGGAAAGTTGGTTCTGCTTTGGTTTCTTCATCACTAGTGAAGAGTCCCAGGACCCTTCTCTACTTTGTCGCTTACAGGAAGCTTCTTTGCTTGCTAACCAACAAAACAGATCAACAAGTTAGGCAATAATAGTAATAATAGTATTAACAGGTTGCTATAGAAAGGTTAGTGAAGCCTCGAGGTGGTGGTACACGCCCTTTAATCCCAGCACTCTGGGACAAAGAGGCCTAGACAAATAGATCTCTATGAGTTCAAGGCCAGCCTAGTCTAAAAGTTGAGTTCTAGGCCAGATAGGGTTACAAAGGGAGACCCTATCTTAAATAAATGAACAAATAAATAAGTCATGTGACCACCCATCACCATCCCTTATAGCCAGTCATTATCAGGGTCTGCACAGTGAGGCAGGAGTAGAGAAGCATGTTACTGTACCCAGTCTTGAAGGCTGATGACTGTGGGTTTGGGAAACTGTTGGAACTTTTCTAAATGATGGGGCCATGTCTAACGACTTCACATTACCCAGACAACCTGAGACACATGTGGGATCACTAGTGGTCAAATCACTGCCTTTCATAACCACTGGCTAAGGCTACATTTCCAGTACTGTACCCCATCCTCAAAGGACTGGAGGGGTCACATACATTCTTAATGTCGCTTTAGGACTTTTGCAACCCCTGAATCTAGATTTACAGATGGGAAAAATTTCCAAAAATTTATCAGGAATTTTGAGCTGGTACAAGCCAACATCAGCATAGAGAAGAGTGTGAGGAGAAGAGAGAGGCTTCCCGCCACCCAAACCACTCTCACACACACTGGAGTCAGATGGAGTCTCCTCCCTTTGTCTTGAAGTCTCACTGACTCCAGT